AAGACAGAATTTCCTATAAGGCTAGAAGTTTTCCAAAATATGAGATTAGAAACAACTATGTTCACTCTAATTAGTATATTCAGTGCAAGGAAATACAGTACAAGGAAAGAAGCACCAGAAGTAAAAACAAATAAAAGATCCAATAATGCTTATATTTAATTCACTTCTGCATCTTATTAGACTTCTTAGAAAACGTCAGCTTTATTTTTAAGTGTTGCTATCTAGTTTTAAATAAAAAATACATAAGATAATGCTATTTAAAAAAAATATATATTGCCCATTGCAAACCTCGAATTAAATTAGAAGGAGGAAGTAACATTTATGCTGAAGACAAACATACTGAGTAATTAACCTCGATGTAAAGCTATAAAGTATTATACTGTAGTAAAATAAAAACACCTGAGCTGTTTTCTACTTAGAATTGGCTAATTATGATCTGATCTTTACAAGGAAGCTTGATTAACTGAGGAGTCTTCAGTGGCTGAGCTAAAACATAACACTCTCTCTTATTCAGAGTCAACATGTTATTGTTGCAATTCATAATGTTTTTAAGGCAAAAAGAGTTTCCATTCCTGGTAAGCTTTAAATTTTTGAGTCACTCACTGAAAAGATACAAATGTACATACCTCTCATCAGTCAGAAACAGCTGCAATGTGGAGCAGGAGGTTGAGGAAAGCCTCACATTCAGTCATGTAATATAACTAAGAAATAATACATGCAATCTATGCAGGCTGCCCATAACCACATGTTAAATCCTGAAATTGCTTAGACTTATTATTCTGAAGTTTAAGGCTTGTTCCTCAACAATAACAAAACATAGGCTTGTTCCTCAACGATAACAAGAAAATTCAATATGTACATAGGTATCAGGTTAGCAAACTGCAATTGTATTTCCAAAATACAAATTCGTCTTCAGTGAATTAAGAGTCTCCATTTTTAACACAAGAGACTGCATTATGTTACAGGTTATACTGGAACAAGAATAGAACTGAACAGTTAAACTGATTGAGCCATTTGTTGTTTATAATAAACAGCCATTTGTTGTATGTTTGGCGAGCGTAATTGTGCATAATCTTATGAAGACCTGGTTGACGACTTTAGAAATCATTCTTTCAAAATAATAAAAGAACCCTCATATCAGGGTCTGCAATAAGTATAAAAACAACAAAAATCAAATGTATATACTTAATTATATATCCATGTAATGTGTTCTTTTTATTCGTTTGCTTTCATTATTTTTTTTACACAGTGTTTTGCCATTTTTATATGCTTTGTTAAGCCTCCATTATTGGCCACTTTAGAATAAAGGACACTAGCATAGATGGAAATTTGTTCTGACCTGCTACAGCTTTCTCATCTATAAATATGCAAGACTCAACCGATTAAAACACATTCCAGTTCATATGCATTTCTAGACTGGAAAGTCAGTTCCATTTGCCAGTCCAGCCACTGAACACTTTACAAAGCTCAGGCAAAGATATTCTCTTCTAAAAAAAATTAATTTGAAACTGTTGTGATAATTATCAGCAATTTAGCATGGCTGTGCTGAAGCTTATTTTTACCCTATTAGTAACCTATCAATTATATTTTTTATTCCCTGAAATAAAACTTTAGGATTCTGAAATATTTTAGAAATGCCTACTGTAAGGCAAATGTTTCCCAAAAGGTCAAATAATAACATCGGAAAAGTTCCCTATCTGAAGCCGTTTGCTAACATGTCGTGTTGGAAACTAAGGGAATGACATTTGCCCATCAACAAAAGTAACTTGAACTGTATAGAACTATGAACAGATATATTCATAGTGAAACTCTGTGACAGCTCCCTACAGAATCAAATTGCTCTACACTGTGAAACACATTTACTGTCTGCCCCCCAAAATAAATTTTTGAGTGGAGCTTTTTTCCTGGAGTTCTTCAAAATATTAGTTAGCAGCTTTTAATGTAAATAACAAAGGGAAGCTCCCTTAAAACAAATCTGCCTTTAAAAAGTCAAGATATAAATAACTATTCATTACTAAACTATCGGGTGCTAATGACAGTTTATGTACATTGCAAATTCAAGCATTCAAATTCATCTAGACAGTTGACTCCATTCTTAAGTTTAGTGTATAATTATATCTCATGACTATTAGTGGGACTGAGATCTGAATAGCACACACATGAATAATTTGGCTGAATTGTAGCATATTAGATGGAAGTATCAAAAGAAAACCATGAAATAGATGAAAGAAAAAGACAAAAGCTTGGAATAGAGTAAGAGGTTCAAAATTTTGGTTGATTAGATTATGAGGGTATTTTTTCAAATACTACATTGTATTTACTGATTTCCTTGAATGCACATGCCTACTTCTGAGAGTTCCAAAAAATCAGCTACACTTAAAGAGAAGTAAATTCCATGAATTGCCTTCAGCATGAGTTTTATGAAAGGTAACAAAGGTTTAAATCAATACTGGCATTCCAATGATGTCTGTGAGAAATCGAATTGTATTTAAGCTAGTGATGTTTGTAAAAAAAAAAAAAAAAAAAAAAAAAAACCTTAAGGTTTTAAGATGTAAGGTATACTAATTGTTATTTACTTAAAAAGAAAAGAAAAGAAACTTACAGAAAGACAAGAAAAGGCAAGACATTTATCTGAGCAAGTGAAATATGTATCTTAATGCATTCTTCTTTTAGTCTCAGAAGGAAAAAGCATCTTCTTCCAAAGAACCTCATACTGAAAAGCTTAAAACTGCTCATTTGAGCATAAGCACAAATGAAGGTTGTAAACACATTTTCAGCCGCCTGCATGGCCTGCTATACTTCCTGAGACATGAAAGCATTCTTAATGATTTCAAATTATTAAAATTTAATATTTAAATTTTTCAAATTATTTATCATGTTCAGAATTATGTCACTGAGTTGCAGATTTCTTTTGTAAGAGTATTGTGGAACTAAAGGATAGGCTAGTGAAATAACTTCATTAATTTATATAACTATGCAAAGGCAGAATGAACAGCGTGTTCTAAACAGACCACTAAACAGAACTTATAGTGTAAGTTACCAAAAAATCAGGAAGTCAAAGATAAAATATTTTTATGGGACTGAAAGTCTTAAAGGTTTGAACAGGGGAAAACACCAAGCCTAATAAAAATCTAAGGCATTCATGTCTAAAATTTCAAGCTGACTGTGTAAGGATCTGATTTGCTTCTTATAATGCTGATGGGAACATTACCATGAAAACAGCCTAATGAACAGCCTGCTGCACGATCCACATTGGATCTTACCAGGTAAACAGTAAATCGCAACTCAGGACCCTTTTTTGGCGAAGATCATGGGTCCTGTAATGAAGGTGTCCAGGGCCAACTTCTTGGACTTTCTTTTTTTTTTTTTTTTGACTGTTTGACAAAGGGTAAGCAGAATTACTGGGATATCTTGTGGCAAGATGGAAGTTGAAAATTTGAAATCTGTCTAATAGAAGGTACACAAACAAAGTTTTAATCAATAGTATAAGAGGAGAAACTTCTACTAAAACTAAGGTACAATATGGAGAAAATAAAGTTATAATTTACCCTTAGATGAGACATTTTCCATACTTCTGAGTGACTAAAAGCCAGAATCCAAAGGTTAGATGATAACATGCTATACTTTCTAATAGAGATGCGGCTATAACTGCCACATCCATAGTGCGTATTTTAGGTACTTCAGGAAGACCTCAGAAGTTAGATTTTATAACAGCAGTAGTTGAACTCCAAAAATGAACAAGGCAGACAAATATTGTAAATATACATATATATATATATATTCTTAGATTAGACATCTCAAAAGAGCAATGACAGCACAAAAATAAGCAGATGGGTTTTAATTTTTGGCCTTTTTTTTTTTTTTGGAGAGATATGATGGGGTAAAATTCTTAACTTTGGCTTGAGAAGAAAATGCAGAAGTATCAGGCACTTAACTGGTGCCAATCTTAGAAGGTGGTTCTTTCAAGCTTGAAATGCAATGAGGATGATAGTGAATGTCCTTCAGAATCTAATGGAAATATGAAATAACACACTCTCATAAGTTAGGGTCTGTATCCTTAGGATTTTTTTCCTATTATTTATTTTTAATTATTATTTATTTTTCTATTTATTTTTTTTTCCTATTTTCTCTATTTGCTGTGTCCATATCAGGGATAGAACTGGAACAATGTCTGTAAGAACTGTAAGGATATAGCTGTGGAATGAAGGAAGAGAGCAAGAGAAGTATCCAAAATCCACTGTCATCAGGTTCATCAAGTCACAGAAATGTTCTCTATTACATTTTCTGATCAATAAGACAAACAAGCATATACTATATCCTATACAAATAATTGTAATATTTCACTCAAGAAAGTGCTCATTTATTAATTTCCTATGCCTAGCGGTATACCAAGTAAAGGTTTTAGAGAGGCTACAGGTCTACATAACCTATTAAAATGGAAAATGGAGATGTTTTTGTTGTATTTGCTTGAATCGAAAGCAGAATAAATAACATCAGGATACAAGCCTACACTTTTTTTGGGGGGTGGGGAGTAAATTAAATATCCTAATTCTCACAACAATACAAAATGTATCTATTATATTGTTTCTGCTACACACTAATTTTGACCTAGGTCTATAAAGATTCTCCAAGAGGCAAGAAAATAATTTTAGTTTTGTAATTATTCCCATAAAGGCTGAGAACACTAAACACAATTTTCAAATAAGACATGTAACATGAAGAATTATATTCCGGAGTAAACATTTTACATTTTTCAAAGATGATAGGAATCTGTATATTGGCATAAAAGAAAAAAAAAACTTTCATTTTTACATCAGAATTTTTTAAGGCAATTTGTATATGTTCAAAAAGCTCTTTTTCCATTATCCATCAATCAACAATAGAGAAAGCATCAAAACTTAGAATTTGTAAAAGGATCAAATGTCTATTTGAAATATATTCAGTGGTACATAATAAAAGAAGTTACAACATGAGTTTAAAACACTGAATTTAGTTCATACCTTGATAAACAGCTTTGAATCCTGGAGAGCCAATGCTGTCATCAGATTGTAAGTGAAGCCACATCTGGTTGCTCATGCTCACAATAAGATCAGGAACACTAGATCCAGTAAGTCTGAACATACAATAAATTTTAAAGTCATTTTTAGAGTCATAAATGACAAAACAAACAAACTTTTTTTTTTTTTCCCTCCAGCAAAGCCCGTCTTAAAAGTTAACCAAGAGGGTTGGAATCAGCTTCTTCTAAACTCCTGTTAATGTTGATATTTTGACCTCCTCCCATGAATCACAAATGTTCTTAATGGCATCTAGAATGGCCAATCCTTTCCTGAAGGTTTTCAGTTTACTTCACCCAAATCCATCAGAGACTATTGTGTTAACAGACATGAAAACATTCATCGCATTGTACACCTGCATCAGAGCTCTTGGGTGACCAGGTGCATTGTTAATAAGCAGTCAAGTTGTAAACAGGTGAGCTGTCATTCAGGCTTTGTTTTTCCAATTGTAGAGAACAGATAGAGTAGATTTAGCATAATTTTTAAGGAACCTAGGATTTCTGGACTGGTAAATGAGCCTTGGCTTCATCTTAATGTCACCAGCTGCATCAGCTCCTAACAAGGGGAGCCTGTCCTTTGAAGCCAGGCATTGATTTCTCCTCTCTAGCTATGAAAGTCCTAGTTAGCATTTTCTTCCAATAAAAGGTTGTGTTGTCTGCACTGAAAAATCTATTGTTTAGAGTGGCCACCTTCATCCATTATGTCTGCCAGATATCTCTCATCTCTTCTGGACAACCTGCTGCAGCTTCTACATCAGTACTTGCTGCTTCACCATGTTAGAAAGATGGCTTCTCTCCTTAAATGTAGTGAACCAAGAAGAGCTTTAAGCTCTTCTTCTGCAGCTCCCTCATCTCTCGCAGCCTCCATAGAATTGAAGAGAGTTAAGGCCTTGTTTTGCATTAGGTTTTGATGTAAAGAAGTGTTGTGGCTGGTTTGATCCATCCAGACCACTAAAACTATCTCCACATCAGCAACAAGGTTCATACCATTTCTTTCTTATCATTTGTGTGTTCACTGGAGCAGCACTTCTAATTTCCTTCAAGAACTTTTCCTCTGCATTGACAAATGGGCTGGAGGCCAAAAGACAGGACTCTTGTATCAACTTGGCTTTTAACATGCCTTCCTCACTAGGTTTAAACATCTCTAGTTTTGGATTTGAAGTGGGAGGCAGGCGACTGTTTGAACATAGAGGCCTTTGTATGGTTATTAATTAGCCAACTTCAAGATCTCAGAGTATAAGGAACTCTGATAAAAGTGAGAGAGATGGAGAATAGCTGGTGGAGCAGTCAGAGCCCACAATATTCATCGATTAAGTAAGAAGTCCACTGTTTTATATCACAGTGGTTTGTGTCACCCCCAGTTGCAACAGTAGCATCACACAGATCACCGTAACAGATATAATAATAATTAAAAAGTCTGAAATATTGTAAGAATTACAAGTCTTATGATACTGTTCTATTCTGCACAGATGACAAATCACTATTCTGTGGGTGTGCTTAATTGCTCCCATATGACAAGGTAAAGCTCCAATATATTTTACTGCTGAAAGTGTGATATGCAGTAGGTGTCAGTAAAAATCCCATATTTCACTTGGTTTTATATTTTTATTTTAATATTTACTACTTAGCTGAGCAGTGGAGAAAGATTCAGATACAATATTATAAAACTCTTCTTCCTCTTAAATTCTGCCATTTCCAAACATTTTTTACTTTTATTTCTTTTGAACCTTATTTTTAGCCACTATAGAAAGGCAGGTTTCTTTCTAAACACCCATTAAGTTTACTAAGTTTCTGAAATGTGTGTTAAATTTTTGTGGTTTTTGTTTGTTTGTTTGTTTTTATTCAATGCTTATTAAACAGTATCTCTGCATTTTAGAAATACTTTGAGATGCAGAGTGAACTACTCCACATAACAACAGAATGATGTACTCAGGACACCACATTTTCTAAGGAGTTCAAAAACATAACTCAGAAGAAATGTTTGGAATTTCTATAAATCAAGAATGTATCCCAAAGAGGAAAAAATGTAAATATTTTTTTACAATCAACAGCTAACAACAAGTCAAACTAGCACTCCAAAAATACTGGAGAAGTAACATATCTACGAAATAGATGAAAAAGGTGTTATGCTTAAATATCAATTTCTTAGAGCAGGAATTATTTCTTATTTTCTTTTTCCAGCATTTAAAAAAGGGATTCGATCTATTCAGTTGCAGCTATTTGCTACTGCAACACAAGAAACGATGTGTAAATAATCCAATCATTCCAGTCTTAGCTTCTTAAATCAATTAAACAAAGCATATTCTATGTAGTGTCTTTGATATCATATTTCCAAAAGCATCCATTAATAAACACTAGGGAATTATAAACAAATACTTAAGGGAACTATTTTCCCTTAGACATCCCTCCAAAAAATATTCTAATTAATTAAAAATAATTTATGTATGTGTTAACTGTATCCATTTTTTAATGATTATGCAACATTAAAATCTCATTAAAATTTCTATACAACGTCAAATAATCATGATATAATAACACATAACATGCTAATTTAGCCATCTACAAGCTACTACTGAAGTGTCTTGTGATAAGCTCCTTTTACAATCATGTGAAGTAAAACGAGCATCTGCCAAAAGTAATTCTTCCAATCTAATAAAGATGGTTAAAATAGATTAAATGAATCCAATCTCTACAGCAACCTGTTTTTTCTATTAATCCAAGGGGCATAAAGTAACCAATTTCAGCTTAGCTATTTAGTTTGCAGATGTCCAAAGTCAGGCAAAATGCTTACACTTACATACAGCCAGAATTCAAATGTTATACAAAACAAATTTGGAAAAGAATTAATAGGTTTTGTTTGTTTGTTTTTTAGTATCTTTAATTTAGTATCTTTAATATATATAACTGTTTGCTGGGAGCTAAGACATTTCTTATGCTTTTAATTGCTTGTCAAAAACTAATTACAGTTATTCAGAAAACATGTGTTGTTTTTAATGAAATAAAAACCTTTTCTGCCTTAAAAAAATATAAGGAGCTTGCTATTTGTGATTTACAAACTTTTGGTCAATAATAGCAGTTAAATTGTTAATAATACAACCATAACACCTGGGGGTGTGAGGGAGAAGTTGTAATGAACTATATTTTGACAATATTAAAAATAAATTAATATTACGAAGTAAGATAAGTATCTTATTGCTCAGAATAAATAACCAATGACAGCGAATTTCCAGAAAAAGCAGTTGAAGTTCTGTACTTACACATACAACACTGTTCTTGTATCACCAACTTTCCCAGCATCTCCAACAGTAAGGGTATCATAGCCTCTTTCCAGTTCAAACTCCTCAAAAGCAAGCTTTATGACCTATTAAAATGAAGTTAAGTTATTTATTTCAAAACATAGACACAGGTTACCTGATCTGTTGTATCCAAAGTAATTAGATATAAGCCATAATGGAAAATTTAAAGACAGTTAAATATGAAAATGTCATAAAAACAACAAAATGTCATAAAAAAAACCAAAAAACTGTCACACCCAGGAAAGGATGTTGCAAACATACAAATGGTTTGCAGTTAAAAAATCTCATTTCAATTCTTTTAATATAATTTATAAAGAGTAAATTTTACCATGTAAACATTAAGTATTTAATTTACTGCTCCTTCTTCTGTCATAGGAGAGAAACCGGCACACAGATCACAAATCACATTGCCTGTTCTAAGACGGTCAACTTTCATTTCAGTTTCCCTTTTTCACTTACTATATGGGGAGTCTGGATAACCTATTTCAGACTAATGCTATATAAATTTTACATAAAATGAGTTCCACTGTAGATGAAACTGATTGTCCTTAAGATGTTTTTTTAAGATTTGTTAGAATCAGGGGAGTTATTTATTTATTTTTGAGAAAGAATGCAAGTCATTTTTATGTGGATATACATATGAACAGAATGTGGGAAATACCTAAGAACCAGTATCAGTAAAAACAATACACCTAGCTGTAGGTAAATAACATTATGTATATACTGAAAAACAGTAATCTAGAAAACTAGACACTTCTTCAGATGTAATCTTGTTTTACAATTTAATAAACAATAGTATTAGTTTGGCATCATTAAATAAGTTTACTCTGAACTGATTTGAAAGGGAAAAAAAAGATCTTTATGAAAAGAAATACGAAAAATCTTTCTAAGCCTATTATGTTTGTTTCTGGATGGCCAACTGTACTTCTTACAGAAGAATGATCCTATTCTTTTCTTAAATGCATGAGAGATGATGCTCCCTCTTAAGGAATTCAGAAAGATTACTTATGTTCAGATAAAGAAACTCTGGTAAATAAAAGAAGCTTAAAAATATGAGATATGTATGGAGGCGTATGTATGGGAGATTTGCAAGTGAATTTTCTGTCATAATTACTTTTGCGTTTATTTGGACACTTCCCCACATTCCACCTCTGCTGGCATATTTGCTATAGAAAATAATGAGGGAAGACATCAAAAGCACAAGAGTTGTACTAACAAATTTCAGTATCGAAAGGAGAAAAGAAGCTCTTGGGATCCACGTTTTGTAAAATCAAGCATTCCACAAACATTTTTATTTTTCCATTTTCCACTTTTAAACAATGGTTTTCCATTGCCTCAAAGCCTCTGAAACGTAAGTTATCTTTCACAGTAGTATTCTTATTACGTTGGTATAGGTACAACTGCAATTAATGATACAAAATGAATAAATCATGACTCACAGATTGAAATATTCTTTCTCCAAGGACAAATATAAAGTTTAAGGAAAAAAAAAAAGGTGCAGAGAATTGCTATGCAAAGTGCAAAATTACCATTCCTTCACTTTTTGCTGAGTGACAGAGTATTTACAGAAAATGTTTGGATTATTATTTTTTTATTCTGAAGAAGTTATTGAAGGTTTTTGCATTCTTTTTTTTTAAAAAAAAAGTAATTAAAGATAATTATGAACAGGAAGTTGTTCATTTTTCAGCACTGTAAATTTGATTTATAGTTGTCATTCTCAGCAACTTATTTTAACAACTGCTAATAATTTGAAAACGAGCTCAACAAGCAACCACGCTTGAGGGAAATTAAATACAAACAAAAGGGAAGCAATAATAAACTAAATATAAATGGTGCTGTTGCTCTTCTTAAAAGGAAGAAAAAAAAAAAGTACAACCCCCCAAGAATCACAAAATATCCATTTTCAAAACCTGAAGTTAAATCAATCCTAGAAGAGCATTCCAGCCCCCCATGATTCCTCTTATTTTTTGTTAAAATGTAGATGTAAGACAACATGGAAGCTAGGTGCGGTACCATATTAGGTATCAAATTCCATTTACTAGAAATACATATATTCTCAGAGTTCAATTACTGTCAGAAAAGGAAACGGAAAGGTCTGGGACATACTGAGAAGAAAGTTAGAAATTCTGACAAACAGGTATGTTACTGTGCTAATTAAAGAACATTTAAGGAAATGAACTCAAGAGTAAATGCAGACAGTAGATCAGCATGGACCTGATCTTTCTTTGGTGTCCACAATTAAACATTTTCTGTTGTTTAAGATGCCACTCCAGTCCTGTGTCAAAAACCTGCCTGTTGTGCATGGTATCTCAGGTAGCCTTGGGCATTTTATACTGCAATAGCCACCAGAGTTGACCAAATGAGACAGTCCTTTATTTTGGATAAACTCAAAGTGAGGAAAGTCTGGTAAGTAGACTATACTACTCTAGAGAGTGTGAATATGACACTAAATTTTTCAGTTTTCCATCATGAAAAACAAAGTGAAGTTGAAAACTCTTAAGTTTACTTCCATCCTTCAAAAGGTACAAAATTATATCTATTTCCAAATATTGCAGTCTGCAAAATGCCTTGTTCTGCCTGAATCAGCTCTGCCCTGTTCTAAGCAATCAGGACCCTAATAGTAAACTCAACAAACAGGGAGGATTATAGTCACCAAAAAGCCAAGCCATTCATACTTGGTTTAGGTCCATAAATATGACCTTTTTTTGTCATGATTAGGCCAAGGCAGCAGATGCTATGTTGACCCCGCAAGCAAGGCCAGGCTTGCTCGGCCAGAGCTGCTTTTAAACAGGCTGTGACAGTGGCTGGGACATTGTGTCCCGGGGTGAGACACTGTTCCGTGAGGTGGGGGTTACCACACAGCACGGTGGTGACCTGGTCAGCACAAGAGTCACCTCACAACCTTGGCCCCTTACCTTAACCTCGCAAAGCTTAGCTGGGAGCCGGCGCAAGGGGAAGCCCCAGTAGTTATAAGACCTATGATAAAAAACACCCCAGCAGGCCCCAAAACTGTGGAGACAGAAGCTCTCACCATGAGCGTTGTACACCTGCCAGCACAGACCTTGTTTTTAGAAAATTTCCTCTGCAACATGCCCTAATGTTGCTTTGATGTGATTAAATACCATATTATGTGTTTCTCACAATATATGGTTGATGTTAGATTTACGCCTGTAAATACACAAACTGAAAAATATAGAGCAGGTGACTGTAAACCTGTAAACACTGGAACAGGCTGCCCAGAGAGGTTGTAGAGTCTCCTTCTCTGGAGATCTTCAAAACCCGCTTGGATGCAGTCCTGTGCCACGTGCTCTAGGTGACCCTGCGTGTGCAGGGGGGGTGGGCTTGATGATCTCTAAAGGTCCCTTCCAACCCTAAGCATTCTATGATTCTATGATTCTATGAAACTCATGAGTTTTCTGCTCCATATTACTCAGAGTTCCATTTTTAGGTGTTCTTTGAGTGCATGAGGCTATGTCTTAATCTAACTATCCTGACATCTCATCACTTGAACTGCCTGAACACAAGGACAGAGCGGAGCTCCCTCATCCCATGCCTCAGAGCTTGCAGTCAGACAGGGCACAACAACAGTTGTCCTAAGGTAAAAGCCTAGCCCCATCTTAGTCTCTGGATAAAAGAAATATCAGCATTTGTGTGCACGAGAGTGCACTGGACAGTTAGCACAAGGTAAGAACAGACCAAATAAACAAAAGGCAGCAGCCTAAGCCAAAGGGAGGTGAAATGCCTCCAGTGTACTCTTAACTTCGGCTTTTCCAGCTCCTACTCCGAGGGATGCAAATGCCTGCTCTGGTGTAACCAAATCTTCCCGTGCTTTTTGTTCATCCCCACTGCAGTATATAATTGCATTTACTGAATTTTTCCCCCATTCCTGCAACAGGGCAGGATTCTATTAGCTTTGAGATTCATTTTGGAACAGGAGACTCAAGGGGACATTTTGAGCAAATTCCATAGAGCAACACAAATCAAAGAGTACAAGTTACTGCAAATTAACTAGCTACAGACTTTTTGCTGAGCCACAGAGATTTCTCCATACACTGAGCCTCTTGTATCTGGGAGAGAAACATCTTAGCTGAAACCCTCTTCAGGGTGGATATCCTGCCAAATAAAATTGTGAGTACCTCTTCACTAAGGTGAATTTGATAGTTATCAAATACTACTTTGGAGAAAATTTCCAAAACATAATAGCACATTAAAGTTCATGCACTCAGAATCAGGACTCGATAATGTTTGATCTTATAGTTTTGCCTATTTAAGGCATCTTCTGATATGTTTTGAATTTTTATTTATGCTCTAAAATAATGAGGCTAATCTTATTTTTTGCCTAGAAGAATTTGTTTCTTAACTACAATATTGAGACTCATATACGTCCACGTATCATATAGAATAATTCTTTTAACATTATAAATTGAAATGTTAACATTATTTGCACAAAAAAAAGAAATACTATTTAACTACATTAAACAATAATTTACTATGAGTGGTGATAAAGTAGTGGTAAATACTGATAAAATATTTTATCTCCAAAGCCATAAGAATAATGATAGTGATGGCAGCATACACATATTAAGCCTTGTTCAACAATGCTTCTAGTTGTTTAAAATTCTAAAAATTTTAAAAATCCCACAAAAGTCAAGTATGTACTTATTATCTCTTTGCATAATAATCTTCCTATCTAAGAGTTAAAATCTAGTCTCCTCCTGAATTTACCTTCTCAGTACCTATATTGGTGGTGATTAGCAATATATGTAGTTTCACCCTATCCCATGCTCTCTAATTCATCTACGTTAAGAGAAAATGTTAAATATGGCTGACTCTTAAGAATTACAGGCTTGATTTTACATATTTGCAGCTGTAAGAATTAGAGTAGAGCCTTTCTTGACCTATATTGTTTAAAAAGAAATGAGATTAGAATCATGGATAGCGATCTTAAGGCATGAGTTCAAAACCATATGGCAATCTCCTCAAATATGCAGATTAACAGTGCACTGTAAGAACACACTGGGACACTAAGCCATTATTGGGATCTAATTCAAATTACGTACGAGTA